GGGAGGGAGAGGAGGGAGAGGGAGGGAGGGAGGGAGGGAAGGGAGGGAGAGGGAGGGAGGGGAGGGAGGAGAGGAGAGGGAAGAGGGAGGAGAGGGAGGAGAGAGAGGGAGAGAGAGGAGAGGGAGGGAGAGAGGGAGAGGGAGGGAGGGAGGGAGAGAGAGAAAAAGAGAGAGTAATGACATTCATGGTGATATAAATTTAAAGAATTATATTAATGATAATTATAATAGAATTAAAAAATAATAATTTAGATAATGCATATAGTTAATGAGATATTACACACATATAATGCATAATGAAATGCGATAAATTATAAAAATATATATATAATATTATATAAATATATAAAAATAAATAAATATAAATATAATAATATATATATGATAATGATAATTATGATAATGATAGCAATAATAATAATAATAATAGATAACAATAAAGATAATGTAATAATAATAATGATAATGATAATAATGATAAATAATGATAATTGATATATAATGATAATAATCATAATAAATATAATACAAACAACGACAACAACAATAACTATAATAATAAAAATGATCATGACAAATATGATGATAATCATAATAAAAACAATAAGGATAACAAAAATAAAGAAAAGAATAATCATCATTGCCATCATTATCATTAGCATTGCATATATAATTATCATTATTGCTATATCGGATAAAAACAAACAAAATAATAAGAAAATCTAATAATAAGACAAACCCTTCCCTCCCCAGGATGAGACACCGACTGATGCTGATCTTTCCCGCCCTCACCCTCCTGGCGGTAGGTAGTGCATCTTTCGTATCATTCTTTTTGGAAAAGTGAGGGCATAGAGTTTTAAAATCACTTGTATGAATTGCTGTTCATTGGACATTAAATATCGTAGTTAATATCAACCAACGGCAGCTGATGATTGATGATAATAATAGAGTAGAATATATTTTGTAACAGAGATCTTTTTCGAAAGGTGTACAGTCTGAAGACCCATGTCAGAGTTAGGGAATATTGGGAAATGGAAATCCTCGTTATTAGAGTTAATGCTTTCTTTACATAATTTTTCGATGCTGACTGTCATAGAACCATAAGGAGAGAACACAAACACTGCCACAATACACATGTATACAGTGTTAGACGACTAAGTATGTGATAGCAAGTACACAAATGGAAGTGACGTAACAGTTATACACAGGCCTATGAGAGTGACGTAACAGTGACACAGAGGCCTATGGAAGTGACGTTACAGCTTCACAAAAGCCTTTGGAAGTGACGTAACAGTTATACAAAGGCCCAAGAAAATAACACAGCACCATACAGAATCCTATGGAAATGATATCTATGGCGACACAGGCACTGGAGCCCACACAGTAGACAGAGGCCCACGTGTGTGTCACGGCAGTTGCACAAAAAAAAAACAACTAAGGAAGCTCCTCTCGCTGCAGGTGGGCGTGTGGGGCCACGGGCGGCTGATGGACCCGCCCGCGAGGAACGCCATGTGGAGGCTGGGCTACCCGAACCCCGTCAACTACAACGACAACGAACTCTACTGCGGAGGATTCGTGGGTGAGGCTCGAAACGTTTTTTTTTTTTTTTTTTTTTAAGGCTCAGATGTCTAATTTTTGCGTCTTCTTTTATGTCCTAGATAAGTATACTTTGCTTCTTTTCTTTATTATGAGTTTTAAGATCAGATAAGTATATTGGTTTTTGAATTGCATTTTTTAAAAATATTAGGTTCAAATAAGTATATTGTTTCTTGTGTTGCATATTCTATTTTTCATCTTTTTAGCCTCAGATAAGTATATTGGTTCTTGTATTGCATATTTTAATGATATCAGAAGTTAGTTTGTATGAGCAATCGTAATAGACATATCACAGATATTATAGACCATAATTACCATGTTTTTTATGGGTGATATTCACAGCTAACCTTTAAGTATTTTCTTTTTTGCAAATCTTAGGATCAGATAAGTATATTGGTTATTGCAATGCTTTTTTTTTCTATTTTAGGACCAGAGAAATATATTGGTTCTTGCATTGCATGTTCTTTTTATATCAGTTTAGGTTCAAACATGTATATTGGCTCTGGCATTGCATATTCTATAGGCTCACACACACACACACACACACACACACACACACACACACACACACACACACACACACACACACACACAACACACCACACACACACACACACACATCACACACACACCATGGTTTATACCTAACTACTCTTACCTTACATTCACGGGACTTATGGAGAGCAGATCAAACCCCAAATCAGATAACCTGAGGTATATGAATGAAAGATGTTTTTAGGCTCAGATAAGTCCATTGGTTCTTGTATTGCATATTCTAATGGAAGACATCAGTCAATTTGTAATATGAATGAGCGATAGAAAAGAACATTATCACAGCATCATGGACCAAAATTAATAGCATTCGCAACGAACCTTTTATTCTTCCTTTTTTAAAGTTTTTAGGCTCAGATAATATATTATAAATGAATAAATGAAAATAATTGTATAAATAATAGAATAAATGCATGAAATGAACGATGAGACAAGAAATTAATAATAACAGACATAGTAATAATGATAATGATAATGATCAAGGTAATGGCAATAATGGTATCTTATTGATAGTGATAATAATGATGATAAGACAACAGATATGATAATAATTGATATATATAATAATACTGATAGTAATAACAATAATAATAACGATAATAACAAAAAAATGATAATAAAGATAATAATGATAATAATGACAATAAAACAACAATAATAATTTTCATAGTAACAACAACACTAACCATAACAATACCTGTAATAATCTCCCACTTCCCCCCCCCTCTCTCTCCCCCTCAGTCCAGTACCAGCAGAACGACGGAATGTGCGGCGTCTGTGGCGATAACTACGTCGACGATATCCCACGACCTCACGAAGCAGGCGGTCTCTATGCTAACGGGATCATTGGCAGGAGATATGTGGCTGGGCAGGTGAGGAGACGGAGAGGGAGTGGTGGGAGAGGTGGGAGTGGAGGGGAAGGGAGGGAGGGGGATAGGTGGGGGGGGGGAGAGGGAGGAGAGAGGGAGGGGGGGAGGGAGGGAGGAGGGAGGGGGAAGGGGTGAGAGTGGAGAGGGAGGGAGGGAGGGGGGGAGGGAGGAGGGAGGAAGGGAAGGGGGAAAGGAGAGGGAGAGAGAGAAGGGAGGAGAGAGGGACGGAGAGGGAGGGAGGGGGAGGAAAGGTGGGAGAGGGAGAGGGAGAGAGGGAAGGTTTGTAGTGAGTGGGGAGTGGGGAAAAAGGGATGGAGGGATGGAGGAGAGGGACGGGAAGGGAGAAGGGAGGGAGTGGGAGGAAAGGTGGGAGAGGGAGATCGAAGGAGGGGATAGAGGGAGGGGAGGGAAGGTTTAAAGATGAGAGTGGGAGTGGGGAAAAGGAGGGAGGGATGGTGGGAAGGAGGGAGGGGGAAAGGAGAGGGAGTGGGAGAATGGAGGGAGAGGGAGAGGGAGGGAGGGAAGGTTTGAAGGTGAGAATGGGAGTGGGGAAAAGGGAGGGATGGAGAGGTGGGAGGGAGAGGGAGAGGGAGATGGGAAGGTGGGAGAAGAAAGGGTAGAGAGGGAGGAAGGGAGAGGGAGAGGGAGAGGGAAGGATGGAAGATGGAAAGGTGGGAGAGGGAAAGGGAGAGGGAGGGAGGGAAGATGAGAAAGGAGAAGGGAATGGGAGGAAAGGGGAAAAGGGATGGAGGGAGAGGAGTGGGAGGAAGGGGGAAAAGGAGAGGGAGAGAGGTGGGAGAAGGAAGGATGGAAGATGGGAAGTTGGGAAAGGGAGAGGAAGAAACAGGGTAAAATGGAGAAAAAAAGAGGTAGAGGGAGGGAGGGAAGATGGAAAAATAGGAGAAAAATGAAGAGAGAGGAGGGGGATGTTGAGAGAGTCGGGAGGGAAGGGGGGAAGAAGAGAACGAGGATATAAGAAAGGCGAGAGAAACAAAGAGTGGGGAAGCTGAGAGGAGGGGAGAAAGGGAGAAGGAGAGAAGGGAGGAGTAAGAGAAAGAATAGGAAGAGGAGATGGGGGTGAGAAGACAGACTGAGGGAGGAATAGAGTAAGAAAAGGTTAGAAAGCGGATTGAGAGAGAGAGAGAGGAGAGAGAGAGAGAGAGAGAGAGAGAGAGAGAGAGAGAGAGAGAGAGAGAGAGAGAGAGAGAGAGAGAGAGAGAGAGAGAGAGAGAGAGAGAGAGAGAGAGAGAGAGAGAGAGAGAGAGAGAGAAAGGAGAATGAAACAAGATGAACTTATTTTCCATTACAACCATTTTATTTCACGTTTTATCCATCATTTCTAATTACCTTCCGTATCTTTCAGGTCATTAACATCGAGGCTGACCTGACCACAAACCATAAGGGCTACATGGAGGTTAGACTGTGCCCGAATAACGACCCTAGGAAGATTATCACTGAAGACTGCCTTAATCAGTATGTGTCGTGTCTTATTACTATCATTTTTCACAATTTTGTTCGTCTAGAAGTTATTTTTGTGAATCTATTATGAATGTGCTGAGTTCCAAGTTGAAGGCGAATATTCGTTCATTTTTTCGTTTATTTTTTTTATTAATTAATTAATTTATTTATTGTGGTATATTCTTATTACAACGAGAGTGAATTGCTGGGATATTGTATCTTATTTGGGTCTCTCTCTCTCTCTCTTTCTCTCTCTCTCTCTCTCTCTCTCTCTCTCTCTCTCTCTCTCTCTCTCTCTCTCTCTCTCCACCTATCAGTCTTTCATCGAATTACATCACTCTTATCTCCTAAATCTATCATCATTTTAGCAGTCCCATATCTTATCGATCTATCAGTCTTTCATTTATTTCCTAAACGACCGAAATTCATGACACCTGCTTCCGTTGGATTCCAGGTACGTCCTCCCTCTCGAAGACACGCATGAGACACGTTTCGTCATTCCTCAAGACAGCAAGAAGTCAGAGATCTTCAAGTGGCGCGTCAAGCTGCCGGAGGGAGTGACCTGCAGCCACTGTGTCCTCAGGTGGAAGTACTTCGCAGGTAAGCTTACTTCTCCGGGTGTTGTTTTTGATGTTTTATTTCTGTGTTGTTTGGCTTTGTTGTTGTTGTTGTTTTTGACGTTATTTCTGTGTTGTTTGTCTTTGTTCTTGTTGTTTAAGCCTTTTTTCAGTGTTGTTTGTTTTTGATTTTGTTGTTTTTTTACTTTTTTTAATATTGTTTTTCTTTGCATTTGTTGTTTTTTGCTTTTACAGTGCTGCATGTCATTGCTCTTATTTGCCTTTTTTTTTCTTTTTTATTGCTATTGTTTTCTATGCATGGTTGTTTCAGAGGAAAGCTAAGGAATGCAGAGGTTTAAGGCCACTGTGCTGTACGTACCTATAGCCGTCGAAGGCCTTGCTTTATGACTACATTTCTCGTATCCTTATCCCCGCTGTTCTTCGCAGGCAACACCTGGGGCGTGAACCAGGAGGGCCTGGAGGGCGTGGGACAAGGCCCCCAGGAGACCTTCATCAACTGCGCCGACGTCGTCATCAACACGCAGACGGGAGGCTTCGCAGGATACCCGCAGGAGAGCAACCAGATCGACAACCCCTGGGCCCTCTACTTCAGGGACAGCTTCCCGGGGGTTCCTCAAGAGCCCAAGGACCAGCGACAGACTCAACCCGGAGGGTCTGCAAAGGTACTTGTTGTTCGCGAAGAGTTTGTTGGGGGAAGGATTTTTTTAGAGATTTAGGGTTTGATTCCATTTGTTACGATGGGTATTCTTTGCTGTGATATACGGTCTTGTTTTCTTTTGTTTCCTTATCTCCCCCTGTGTGCATGGGGTAAGGATTTTGAGATTAAAGATTTTAAGTTTTGATTCCATTTGTTACGATGGGTATTCTTTGCTGTGACATACTGTGTTTTCTTTTGTTTCCTTATCTCCCCCTGTGTGCAAGGAATGTCAGGTCAGCAAGATTACTAGACCAAACTACTTGTGTGGAATTCATGACGAACATTTGCAATACGGAACAACGAAGGGAAGGACACAAGAAAAAACACACGAATATGCCAATCGCCGGCATATTCGTGTGTTTTCTTGTCACTTCCCTTCGTTGTTCCTGTTGCTAGACCAACACGCAAACCTCTGCATAAGCTGGGGTGGCGGAGGGGGGGCTGGAGTGTCGTGGGGGTGGCGAAAGGAAGGCATGTGTCGTGAGTGAAGTTGTGAAAGGATTCGTTTTTTGTCGGGGTTTTAGAAAGGAGTATGTGCGTGTGTGTACGTGTCCATGTACGTGTATGTATCTACGAGTGTGTATCTCCGTGCAGGCATTTTGGGCAAGTGCGAGCAAGAATATGAAAGTACCCACAGATAATTCCTATATGCAATACCCGCAAATAAACTTTGTCTTTTGATGCAGGTCGCAGGTGTGTCTCCCCATTGACCCCATGAGAGAAGTTCCTCAGCTACAGGAATGGTGCAAGACGAACTGCCTCATGTACCCCCCCAACTGCGACCCGACGATCTGTGTCTGTGTGTAAGTATATGGTCCAACACCTTTCCTTTTTTGTGTAATATGTTGTTATTGTGTTATTATTCATATGCTGTATTTCCATTAGATTGATCATACTCATATGCTGTATTTCCATTAGATTGATCATACTCATATGCTGTATTTCCATTAGATTGATCATACTCATATTCTGTATTTCCTTTAGATTGATAGATAGATAGATATACAGAATTTTCATTTGAGTGATAGATAGATAGATATACAGATATAGGTATATTATATAAGTGCATGTATAGACGAATAAATAGTATATGCTAGATAAAGATAAAGCGAAACAAAATCAAATATGCATATTAGATAGACATATACTAGACATAAATAGACATAAATAGACATATAAGTATACGTCATTAGTTGATAAATACAGACGGAGAACTAGAGACATCCAAATTAACCGATAATTCGATAAACAAAGCCACTACCGATGCCATTTCTGTTAGATAGACATATACTAGACATAAATAGACATAAATAGACATATATTAGACATAAATAGACATATAAGTATAGGTCATTAGTTGATAAATACAGACGAAGGACTAGATACATCCAAATTAACCGATAATTCGATAAACAAAGTCACTCCCGATACCATTTCTGTTACATAGACATATACTAGACATAAATAGACATAAATAGACATATAAGTATAGGTCATCATTTGATAAATACAGACGAAGTAGATACACCCAAATTAACCGATAATTCGATAAACAAAGCCACTCTCGATACCATTTCTCTTCCCCCAACAACTTATTATTTTTCCTCTCTCTCAAACCCCCTTCAGGAACGAATGCGAAGCTATTGGGGAGTTCGCCAAGCAACCGGGGGCAGATATTTACTGCCACCAGAACTGCCTGAAGAACCCCCCCGTTTGCCCCAAAGATCGGTGCAAATGCTTCTGCCCCTAAGGGTTGTGGGTTATTTTTGGAGCGACGAGGATGAAGTCCGAGGGAAGACGGCTCTATAAGGGATTCGATCTTATTGTTTTGGGTTTTTTTTTGATTGACTCCAAGGAAAAATGTCTCTATAAGGGATTCGATCTTATTGTTTGGTGGTTTTGTTGACGATGATGATGATTTTCAAATCGTCTCTTGATTCGCTATATATAGATGTTTCTCGTTGGCGATGATAATGATTTCAAAGGACAAATGTTTCTAAAGGGGATTAGAATTTTTTAGATTAATTATTAATTAATTATTAATCCTATTAATTAATTATTAATTAATCCTATTAATTGGTGGATCTTGTTGATGAAGATGTCGACGGTGAAGATTCTCGCATCGATAGCGCTAGTAATGATGATTAGTATGATGATAATTATTTTATTTGTTGTTATTACGACTGTTGGTGCTTTCATGTGGAGTTGTTATGCTTGTTATTTTGATGTATTTTGATGTTGTTACTGTATTTTCTTTGCTGTTTTCTGTTACCTGTAGCAATGGTAACAATGATGATATTGTTAATTTTCTCATTATCTGTATCAATCTTCTTGCTTTTGCTGTTTATTATTGTGATGATGATGATTATCATTATTGTTATATTTATCATCAGCATTTTATCATTGTTGTTAGTGTTGTTATTGTTTTTATCATTTTTTTTATCATTAGCATTGTTATTGTTATCATAATTATTAATGATATTGTTATAATCAATTTGATTATCATTGTTATTAGAGATGTTATTATACCTGTTATCATATTTATTGTTCCTCTTATTACCATTATTGTTATCATTGTTATTATTATTATTATTATTTTCATTATTACTGTCATTATTATCACTATTATTTTTTCATCACTGTTATTGGTATAATTATTATTATTATTATCATTATCTTTACTATGATTATCATTATCATTATTTCCATCATCATCATTATTATTATCATTATCATTATTACCATCGTTATTACAATTACTACTATCATCAAAATTATTATCCTTATACAAAATAACGTTATTAGCATTATTAATAGTTTCATTTATTGATGTTACAATTGTTTTTATTATTCTATTGCTTTTAATATCAGCCTTGTGGTTATCATCATTATTATTAATGTTATGATAGATTATCATTATCACTTGGTTGCTATATTTATTATTGTTATCGTTATCATTATCTGAAATTATGTTCTTTATTACTAATATTGTTATTGTTATTATCATCACCGTCAAAATTATTATTATCATCAATATTATCATATAATTATTATGATTTTGTTATTATCATTATTACTATTATTATTATCATTGTTATTATTGTTATCATTATCTTCGTTATTGTTATTACTGTTATTATCATCAATATTATTAACATTATTATCTTTATCATTATTATTGTTATTATCACTATTTTTTAAAATTATTTTTATTATCATCATCATCATTATTATCATAGTTATCATTATGATTATTATTGGTTATTGTTATTGTCCTTATCATTGTTATTATAATTAGTATTTTGTTTATTATTATAAACATAATTACTAATGTTATTGTTATTAATGCTATCATCATTGTTATTAATTATATTAATTATAATGTCATGATCATTGCTATTCTAATTGTCATTATTATTATTATGGTTATGATTATTTTCATCCTAATTATTATTACAATTATTATTATTATTACTATTACTATTTTCATCATTTCATTATTATTATTATTATTATTATTATTATTATTATTATTATTATTATTATTATTATTATTATTATTAAAATTATCATTATTGTTATGATCATTATTATTATCATCGTCATTATATCATTATCATTATTATCATTATCATCATCTTCACCATCGTCGTCATTATCATTATTATTATTATTATTAATTTTACTATTATTACTATTACTATGATTATTACTATTACTATTATTACTATTATTGCTTTAGTATTGTATTTTCATTGACATTGTTATTGTCATTTCTTTAAGTATCATCAGTATTTTTATTGTTATAGTTATTATTTTTATAATTATTACTGTTATCCTTTTTTATCAATTATTATCAGTTATTATTATTATCATTATTATAATGATTTTTATTATTATCATCATTTCAATATCTACTTATTATATTATTTGCTATCATTTTTTACCACTATTGTTGTTGCTATTACTGCTATGATAATTATCAGCATTATTGTTATTGCTATCACTGTTATCAGCATTGCCAAGCCTGTTGTTAACTGATCCAATTCATTAATTATCCCTTACAGTGAATGTCGTAATTCAATCATATCACTTATCCCTGTATGTTATATTTGCAAAGAGATTGCTCTACATTTTTTTTCCTTAATTTTGCTTCATTTCTGGCAAGCTTGTTATCTCGATGAATTTTGAAAGATGCGTCAGAGAAACTGGGAAGATCCGACTGGTTGTTTAAAAGACAAAAGTTTACGAATTATATGTATATGTATATATATATTCATATATGTGTGTGTATATGTGTATGTATATATATTGTGTAACCTACAAAAGAATAGCTCATATCCGATGATTGATGTATATCGTGTTGGCATTGTGCAATCTAAGGTGTATTAGTTATGCAGATCACTAACAGATGGCGTTCGCAAGAATTTAAAAAAAAATGTAAAACAGCGTTGGTTAAGGTTAGAGAGAGAGAGAGAGAGAGAGAGAGAGAGAGAGAGAGAGAGAGAGAGAGAGAGAGAGAGAGAGAGAGAGAGAGAGAGAGAGAGAGAGAGAGAGAGAGAGAGAGAGAGAGAGAGACAGAGACAGACAGAGACAGAGACAGACATTGATGCGCGCCATCTGTTGCTGATCGACGCCATTAAAATGAATCACTCCCGGGGAGCATGTTAAGGATCGTGACTTTCCCTTCTTGAGTGTTAAAGACTCGCCGTGCTGAGGTCTTCTTCCCTTTGGTAATGGACCAGCCCCGCCTTCGTATCCATTAGTTGCCTTTTACGACATCTACGGGGTTGAGTCCGTGCCATACAAGGGGACGAGGGACCTGGAATTTCAGACAAGTTGTTTAGTTGTTATGGAGGACAAACGTTTTACTTGTTTGTTTGTTTGTTAAATGATTATTATCCAGCATATTAGAGCTCTTGCTTTTTTTTTATCTAGATTAAGCCATCTGTGCAAATAGAATCTCCTTTGCTTGTTATGCATTTGATTAGTTATTTATTGCATTGTGAACAATTGTACGACCAACTCGGTCACTGTTACTCATGAAAGCAACGTTATTTATTAAAATCAGATGAACACATAGCCTTTTTAATCTAAAATGTCCCTCCTTTTCGATCTACTGTACATAGTGGATGCAAAGTGGATGAATAGAGTGGATGCGAGGGCGAACGACACTCCACTGTACCAGTTCGACACTCTGTACGCAAAGTGGATGAATAGAGTGGATGCGAGGCGAACGAAACACTCCACTGTACATAGTGGATGCAAAGTGGATGAATAGAGTGGATGCGAAACGACTGTGGATTGCGTGGATGCGGCGAGGGCGAACGACACTCCACTGTACATAGTGGATGCAAAGTGGATGAATAGAGTGGATGCGAGGGCGAACGACACTCCACTGTACATAGTGGATGCAAAGTGGATGAATAGAGTGGATGCGAGGACGAACGACACTCCACTGTACATAGTGGATGCAAAGTGGATAGTGGATGCGAGGCGAACGACACTCCACTGTACATAGTGATGCAAAATAGAGTGGATGCGAGGCCGAACGACACTCCACTGTACATAGTGGATGCAAAGTGGATGAATAGAGTGGATGCGAGGACGAAAAACACTCCACTGTACATAGTGGATGCAAAGTGGATAAACAGAGTGGATGCGAGGCGAACGACACTCCCTGTACATAGTGGATGCAAAGTGGAATGATAGAGTGGATGCGAACGACACTCCACTGTACATAGTGGATGCATGAATAGAGTGGATGCGAGGGCGAACGACACTATGTAGTGGATGCATGATAGAGTGGATGCGGGGCGAACGACACTCACTGTACATAGTGGATGCAAAGTGGATGAATAGAAATGCGAACGACCACTCCACTGTACATAGTGGATGCCAAAGTGGAATGAATAGAGTGGATGCGACGAACGGACACTCCACTGTACATAGTGGATGCAAAGTGGATGAATAGAGTGGATGCGAGGGCGAACGACACTCCACTGTACATAGTGGATGCAAAGTGGATGAATAGAGTGGATGCGAAGCGAACGACATCCACTGTACATGGTGGATTGCAAAGTGGATGAATGGATGGAGGGCGAACGACACTCCACTGTACATAGTGGATGCAGAGTGGATGAATAGAGTGGATGCGAGGGCGAACGACACTCCACTGTACATAGTGGATGCAAAGTGGATGAATAGAGTGGATGCGAGGGCGAACGACACTCCACTGTACATAGTGGATGCAAAGTGATGAAATGATGATGCGAGGGCGAAACGACACTCCACTGTACATAGTGGATGCATAGAGTGGATGCGAGGCACGACACTCCACTGTACATATGGAGCAAAGTGGATGAATAGATGGATGCGAGACGAACGACACTCCACTGTACATAGTGATGCAAAGTGGATGAATAGAGTGGATGACAGAGTGGGCAAAGTACATGGTGGATGCAAAGTGGATGAACAGAGTGGATGCGAGGACGAACAACACTCCACATGATGATTTCAAGAACAGATGACTTTCTATTTGATATTTGCTCTTACTATGCAAATGAGCGCTGGTCTATTTCACAACGACGAGAGTGACGTTAAAGGATGACTGTGTACACAAAAAAGTGAGTCGGGGCGAGTCCTAATCATTCTCAAATTATGGCAGAAGTGAGTGTGGAAATGAAAACAGTTTTGTTGAAGGGATTCTCGCTGGGATCTTGGAAATGGAAAGAGTCAGAAGTTCAGTAA